AGCATCGATTTTTAATCCTTCTTGATTTTCCAACAACATTCTACAGGCATGTTATGGTGATAAGTGCTTTTCCAAATAGCCGCTCTGGGATCAGCAGTGATGTGGGCACCGGGTAATGGTGAGATCGCGACTTAAGCTAGTGGAAAAGTTCAAAAACACGAGATTACGTCTTATCGGCACACACTAGGAGTGGGCGAAGGACTTTCGGCCTCTGATGGACTAATTTATCCCGCAAAGAACAGCTGCCACTGCCGCAGCTCAGCCTCGTATGATGAGGGCTAGAGACTGGCGGAGGGATAGTTTTAAAACACAACGGCAGGGTCTATGGGCTGCTGGGCATGGATTGGGAGGCCTACGACTATATAACATAGTCCATCAAGATCAGTTCTGGCGTCGTCATTCCTTCCTCACGGCTGAAACATCGGTTTGCGGCTAAAAAGCGCTCACGTTGGTCGCCTCCTTCGATATCGAGGCTTCAAGTTCCACCCAGGTAGAACGGTCTAGAAAAAAGCTCAAAGAGACGCTGGCGGAGCGCGAGTATCTCCCGCGGTGGAGACCGTTCCCCAAGGCGAAGAGGCTGATTTAACGTGATCGTTTCTAAAGAATGCCCCCCCCCTCCAGGAGTGTCATAACCAACCCGATAATAGCATGGCAGCGCATCCTTGACAAGCCCGAGATTGCTGTGTCGCAGCTATTCGGGCTACAGTGACATCCGACGACTGATCTGGCCACAATTATGTGGGTATGATAAAATGCAGTGTAATCGTAAATCTTACTCGAGCTAGGAAGTTGGTGACGTTCAGAATCCACAACGTTGGGAGGAACACATCAGGGAAACCAAACTAATTTGGCTCGATTAAAACAACTGCTCAGTATACCGATCTGTCTTCGAACCTAAACACAGTCGGGTGTCAGGTCAACTAGAACCACGAAACAGGATCTGCGGTTGATTCTAGTGAGAGCTGACGATATCGACAACAACTTCGGACTTGGGGTTGGATTTGCACATAGACCGGAAACAACCATCAGGCGTCAACTGATGAAACCAAAAGACCCACTGCCACGGCAAGAAACGTCTGGAGTCGTTTATCGGATGTGGTGCAGTTGCGGACAAAGCAACTACGTCGAAGAAACCGGAAGACAGCTCCGAACGCGAATGGCCGAACACACTGCAGCGGTGCGGGGAAATGACGCCGGCTCTCAAGTTGCGGCTCATTCGACGGGTTCCGGCCACATATTCAAATTCCACAAGGCCAAATTCTCGCAAGAGGTGACAAGCGCGTGAGCCGCCAGTTACTTTAATCATGGTTTACTGACCCCCAGTCCATTAACAAGTGCAATGATCTTCCAGTCCCATACTCGTGCTGAGACTTCGCCTAGGTGAAGTAATTAGCCACGCCGGGAGTGCACAGATGAACACTTTTCCCAACACCAGGGTCAGCGCGTCAGATGGTCGAGCAATCATCACACCAGCATCCAACGCACGTGATGAAATTGCAGCAATTAACGACGCGAATATCGGCCATCACGCCACGTGCAACGAGCCCTGATGAAGGGGAGGGAGCCGTGAATGTTCACAGGTATGCGGTAGCATGGCTACTGCATCCTATAAATACTGCAGCCGCATGTGCATGAACCACCCTTATCTGTTTTTGTCTCTGATGATGGATTCGAGCAGGAAACCGAAACGTCAGGCCCCGAGTTTGTGCTGGGGGAGGCCCAGCCGGGCAGATTATACGAAACTTATGGGGTGGAGATGCATTCTAAAATATTTGCAAGCGAGCAGGGCGAAATGGCTATGAATGGTAGCAACGCACTCCTTCGACGTTCAACCTGCGAGAGCATTTACTACAGCCACTTAGTCGGAGTAGGCGGCCGGAGGACACCCAAGCTGTCCGAAGTGGCCGACGATGCAGACAACCTCAAACCAAGAAAACCGCCATTCATTACAAAGAGGAGGTGCAGATCGCTTTAGTTGAGTGCTCTGACGGCCCGCTTGTCTCACGATATACGAGCTGGGATTCGGACTCTCGTAACCAAGGACCGAGTGTCAGACGAGATCACAGGACCCCGTCTCCTTCCGTTCAACAGACAGCAAAGTTAAATCCGGTAATCACCCGCCCGACTTCAAGACTTCGAGTCAACAGACTCGCCAAGAAAAGGGTGGAAATCGTCAATTACTGGTGAATCAAGACCTCACCGAGAGGACCCCACCAAGCATACAGGATCGGAGGTGGTGTAAATTGACACATCATCTCTAGAAGTGAAGCCCTACAATTACAAATATGCCATTTTCCCCAGCGACATCTCTGCCTGCGAAAAATTTGCGCAAATGGACTTTCACCATAAAAAGATGAGTAAGAAAGAGATCGTCATGGCTTATAACGATCTCTGGGATAGCCAGGTCCTCCTAAAAGAACACTACGGAGGCCTCGGTGAAACTGTCCAGACGGAAACACAAACATACTTAATAACGGTCCACCCACCAGAGAAGACCATTGCGTCGTGGAAACAACCGTAACACATGAAAAGTTGGCTGTGGCCGGCATGTTCAAAAAGTCCTGCGTTAGAATACCGCCTTACCGTGACTGGAGGCTTAGACGCAGACGGACTCCACTTAACAAATTAACGTGCTGGTTCGCAGTATACAGCCTACGTCGGGGAGGACGTGAATAAACCGGGGACGGCTGTGATCTAGCCTGCCTTTTATTTATCAGTTTACAAGCGATGGTTTCGAGCTGGCCACTGATTTGTGACTCACTGACCGCCAGAGGGTGCACACAGTCTGCTCCGGAACGTAATTTAAATCCCTTCGGACACAGTCCTCCGTTGTATTCATTTTGCAGGAACTCTCACGGCGGAAAGTCGCATAAAGTTTTACCGAGAGCGGCATTACTCTTCGAGAACTCATTAAACCAAGTTAGGAGAACATCGTGTCTGAGAACTCCTCTTTGGATTCCAGTAAATTTTTATAGTTTCAAGAAAGCCCACTGGAGACGCCAATAGCCCGACACGGATATATTACCGACCTTTTTGGCTTTTACTAATCCCCTATCGACGTCGAAGACGAGACCAGCGCACTAGACAAAGACGGGACGACCAGATGACTGTCAAACGGCCTGAACCGGTACCGTTAAAATATATATATCCTGACGAGGTCGTACTTCGCAGTTGGAAGATACGATAAATGGGAGCGAATGTGCGAGTCTTAGGTTCTTGTTGCAAAGATGGACGAATGATCACTGGGACAGTACGTATATTAGTCAGAACATTCGGTCTCGTACAGGAGGCCATCGTCAGAGTCTGTGAGAAGGCGACGTCAAATGAGCACTTTTTGCAGTCTAACAAAGAAAGGGTAGGAGTGCATGGAATGGTGTTCGCGACAAGGCTGAGTCCACGCCGTCTCACGGCGGCCTGACGGCGTGCACCTTTGGCTGGGAATTGGATCTCGCCTCGTTGCTGCGGGAACGGAGCGCGTGATAGCAGGGGGGGGGGGGGTATATCAACGTGCCTGTTGATGGAGTTGATGACAGACACCTAGGCCTCCAGCAGCCCTCGCCTTGTCTTATTGCTGGCCAGCGCCACTATTCGCGTGCTCGAGAAGTTGAATTCATGGCCTTCCTCCAGGGTGTGAGTGGCGACTTGAGACAACGGGTCGCCCCTCCGGATTACCTGTTAGGGCTCCGCTATTCGCGAGATGAGTCGTCGTCTGTTCTGTCCTTTGTAATGGCGAGGACAGTCCCGACATGGGATCTAGTAAATGACATTCGATTGTTTTCCTACGTCTAGTCGGTCCTTCACTCGCATGATTTAGTTGAACATGGTCGCTGTCGGACGGTTATCATCGGAGACTGTGATATAAAATGAGCAGTTTTGTAGTCAAACAAAGAAGAGGGGAGGGTAAGAGAGGAGGGAGTGACGGCCCACTGCCTTAGGTCGCTAATCACACCCTGGAGGAAGGCCACTAATTCGACTTCGCAAGCACGCGGATAATTGCGCAAGCCAGCAGTAACACAGAGCGAGAACTCCCGGAGACCTGGGTGTCTGACACCAACTCCAACAGACATGTTGATATACCCCTCTGCTATCACGTGCTTCCTTCTAGCGGTAGATAGGCGAGACCTAATTCCCAGACAAGGGTGCAGGCAGACACACCGCCGTGAGACGGCGTGAACTCGGTCTTATAGCGAACACCACCCCCTCCGCTCCCATGCCCTTCTTTGTTTGACCACAAGACTGCTCATTTGACGCCGCACTCTCAGAGTCTCTGATGATGGTCGCCGGTACGAGACCGAAAAGCTCAGACAAATACGCGTTCTGCTAAATTTGAGAGAAGAAAGCGGAGTGAGTGCATCTGCAGTCGCTCCAGATGTATACGAAGCACGGAAAATTACTCGATCAAGGTCACATTATGGATTAACACGGGACACAAACTAAACTAATCGATCGAACAGCTCCAACCTCGGGACCGGATGGACTCTAGAACGCAGCGTACGTCCTTCAGACAAGCTGAACTGGTGAAGGTAAAGGGTTTGTGTGCCTTGGTTTATGGGCTATAACATAACGATGAACAATAAACAGCAGCCAAGCCTTTCGACAGTAATGTCCTAAATGAAAAAAACCACCCAGTTTACCCGTCAGGGGGATTTTCGACTCCCAGCGGCAGTCATGAAGAGGCCAAACAGCTCCTTTTCTACATTTTCATCTTGTGCAGTCGACTTACTAATGGTGTTTTGAATGCAGAGTTACAGGACTTTGAGGAAAAACGCCATACAAAGCGAATCAAGACCCCTTCGTTTAGTTTAAACCAGGAGCAAGAAGGCTATCCGAAATTCCAATTCAGCAAAACTGTCTACTGATGGGAAGAGAAGCCACGAAAAGTTTATCAATATAGACGACAGATCGCTTTCGACACTGCACGTCGTGATGAGTAGAATTGGGAACAGGGGGAAAAAAGTCATGGTTATAGAAAAATTTATTAACAAATCATACTTTGGGCTCTAGGCGTCCGTATCGGGAGAATCTACAAGGAGAGAGGTCAGGAAACGTAAACGGACGGAGGCAGTGATTACCAAGCCGCCTGCGATTGGACTTGCGAATTGGTTGGGAGGGTGTGACCTGTTCGTGGCCCTGATCGGACACTTGCGCACTACGCAGAGAAGAAGCATTCTTCGACTTCATGAATTTCTCATAGTTCTCAATATCATCCCAGGACAACTCAATCCTCGTCAGTGGACGCCTTTGCATTGACAAAGGTATTAAGTCTAAATACAGAACAATGTTTTGGATTTGAATGATGAAGAATGCTTCGGCAATACAGAAGAGGTATGAGCCCGAAAAGAGGTATACCAATCCGGGCTCAATTTAAGGCGCAATTACGAGTGAAGGTAAGTTCTACCCCAAGACGTTTGAAGCATAGGCATCTCGAAAAGCGCACCCACCTGACGTGAAATAAGGCTTATTCGCGAATGACCAAGACAGTTGTGCCATCGTCACGACAGATAAAATGTAGATCGCATGCAAACGGGGCTACTTTGATTTAATACTGGACATTGTGGTATCTATTTCGAGCTCCTTCCGGACTAAAATAGCGGTTTTGGAAATACCTGTACGGCGGATCGAATCCGTATTCCGTTACAAAGCTATCGGAATGGCCGATGAGCATGAAAACACTAAATATAGATTAATAGAACGCTAACAGCTAAGGAAAAAAATCAGTCAGAACAGGGACATTAAGGCACGCGTGAACGAATTCAGGACGAGTCGAACGCACTTACCGTAATCATGACGTTCGTATAGAACGCGAACCAAAGACCATACCTCGAAACTGCATAACATAAAAAGCATGCATTTGTTAGGGTGGATAAAGTTAAAAAGACACCTGTCCAAGCGTCACGGACTGGCTAAACTACACTTTTCGACTGATTTCCCCATGTGGGAAGGAACAATGCTCTGGCGCAGTCTTGACTACATCACTGGTTACATACGAGGGGCTGAGTAGATTGAATATGGCACTTTGGACAGAGGGTTTGACAGGATGGTGTAGGTGCAATGATTGACGAAAAAAGCTAGCCTCCGCCCATGCTAGCTAAACGAACGTGGACTCAGAGCTACTCCTGTCGACAATAAACACGACAGCCTGGGGGGATTGCAGTCTACGGCACCAGGAATCAGTAAGGCTCGAGCTGCGCGATCAGCAATCGTTTTCCAATAAAGCGAACCTGTGTCTTCTCCACATTTGGCATGGCAGCGGCTCCAAATTCGACAGGAGTTCGTGTCGACGAAATGTGTACCGGCAAAACTGGTCTTTTAAACGACTGAAAGTTTGTATTTGTGCCGAGAAACAAGGCTCGTAATTCAGTCACCGTTATCACATTCACTAACAAGAAAAAAACTTCTTAACGACCTGGCGGGTTATTGGATAAGGTGTATTACAGGCGGGCGCAAAACTAGTCTTCTTTAATGACATAAGCTTTGAACAACGGGGCAGATAAGACCTATATTCACATTGGTAATCGATACGTTTTTGTCAATAAAAACACGGATACAGGAGTGATAATTTCTAGCTTATTCAGTCTTTCCTGCCGACGCCACGTCAACGGTGGGTTGTAAGCTCGAGGCATACAAAGATCACTATCTTTACTGAGGGAATTCTCAATTACTGATCGTTAGCCACCACGCAGCCGTTTGCGAAGGATGCGTATCCCCAGCTTCCAGGTGAAACTGAGACTTTAACTTCGGTTTTATAATGGGTTCACACCACCGCCTATGTATGCTGACAGCGCAGGTGAAACATGCATACAGCGTCATACTTGATATAATTCGTATGCATACAAATGGGGAAGAGATCGGAGACGGTTGCAGATCCTAATATTTTAGTTATACAAGTGTAGAACTTCCAATGATTTGTCTGCCAAGAATGTATGGCAGGCGGCGTATTCTATGACATGTAAACCGAAATTCTTAAATGCGTTTACGGTTAGAAAGGGTTACTTAAGTGATGTTGTAACATCGACCAGCATGTAACATAATCCCAATATATTTCAGTCATGCCAGGGCGTTAGCTTCTAAATGCGCCGGCCGCCTGCAAAAATGACACCCGTCAAAGTGGCTACTTATGTGGCGCGATTTTTTCCTGCCCACTGCTTTTCAATTTCTCCATAAATCCAAACATATCACATAGGAAGTATGCACAAAATATCCCCCCTAGCACTCATTTGGAAATAAATAACGTCTTTGTTGACGTTTATATTCGAGCGATTATGTACAGGTATCTGGTAAATTATGACGGACAAAAAACTTCTTATCTCCATTTAGCATACTTGACGCTGGGCATACTAATGGAGACTCTGGAGTATCGGTTTCTGTGAACACCGTAACACAAGTCAGTTTATATGCTTCGGACAATTACACAGATCCAAAACGCTGGGCATCCCTACTTCTCTGGAAGAAATCACCGGCTTAATACTGCATGAGGTTGTGCCACAAGTGCCATTAATGCCACCGAAAACTAAACCTGATAATTACTAATACTTATTCTTCGTTCATGTTAATAGAAGGCCTATAAATGCGTATTCTCGGACGTATTCTTGGCAAAGAAGCAGCTGGACACTAATGGCACCAATTTTTTTGTGAGTTTGTACTTTCATCAGCCGATAGGGGTCGATGTTTGTCTAAGTGACCTAAATGCCTCATTTTATATTCTCTTTACGCAATTGCCCGTAATGTTTTCGGCGAAAAAAGTGCGAAGTGAAGTGGTATCGCAGAAGTGAAAACCCAAACCCGAGCACACCGAACTGAATTGGACGCCGAGTCAGCTGGCACTTACTAAAACTGTAGCGTCCGACCTCGAAAGGGGTTCGGTGGCCGAGGGTTCACTGGTGTCCTTTTAGGTTGCCTGAGACGGAACGTCGAAAACTAGGGCATTCTGTCCAATTTGTGAACCGTTAGGATCATCCTTCCAAGCGTTCATGATCGAATAACAGTCCTCAAGCACACGATAAGCCGCGTAGTACTCCAAGGTTTATTGAGGAAGGGCAAAAAAGGGGAACGTAGAACGAGGGCAAAACAGAAGGGGGTCCATTAGTCCAAGAAACGTTAGTTTCACAGTTGTCCAGGGAAGGTGGAGTTGGATGCTGCCACCGGGGAGGGGGAGTCTTCTTCCTCGCGCACCTCAACTAAAAAAAAACAAGAGAAAGCAGACAGATAGTGTCCAGACACCAGGCACCCTTGCTATCAAATCTAGCGCCCTTGTCTATTAAAACAACCATTCGTGTGTGCCTGCTACAACTGCCCTCTCCCCCTCTAGGCAGTGCCCCGTCCGCTAGGCCTTTTGGGGGGTGTGGGTCGAGAGGAACTTCCACTTCATTGGTAGGCGAGGGGACTAAATGGGGAGGGAGAATGCGTACGGTATCATGGGACGCTACGGGGAGACGGCCGTGGTAAGGTTTTAACTTGTCGAAGTGTACAGTGAAGGTGGGGCCGGCGTGGGTGAGGGCGTTGCGGATAATGTAAGTAGTGGGCGAAATGACGTCGGCGACTGCGAACGGTCCTTCCCACGGATGGAAGAATTTGGCCGGTGTGCCAACAGGCGGAACCGCCCGATAGCGGAGCACTTAATCGCCGATGTGGTAGGGGAGCCCGTGTGTCCGGCGGTCGAAAAAAGTCTTCTGTCTGTCGTACGCGTTGCGGGGTTCTGTGAGGGTCAGGTTGTGCGTGAGTCTTAGTAGCTGCTGTAGCTCTATCACGTAGTTGTCGGTTGTATAGGCTGTCGGTTGCTGCCGAGGGACGTTCGAGTCTGCCGGTAGTCGGAATTGGCGGCCGGTCAACATATAGAATGGCGCGTGACCCGTTGAAGAGGGAATGGCGGCTCTGTAGGACATCATAGCGAAGGGTAATTTCACGTCCGAATCGTGTGGGTGGTGGTCCTCGGCGAACGCCTTCAGGATATTAATGATAATTCGGTTTGTACGCTCCACCTGGCCATTGCCCTCTGGGTGGGTTGGTGAAGTTCGAGCCTTAAGGATCAGGAGCAGGTCACAGACTTCGCGTAGAAGGTGGCTTTCGAAGTTGGCATCGCAATCGGAGTGAAGTGAAAAAGATGCTCCGTATCGACAGACCCATTCCTTTAGCAGCGCGTTGGTGACCGAAGCTGCATCTTGTGTCGACGGAGGAGAAAGAAAATAGTAGGTTGCTAGAGCTTGATAGGAATGATACCCAGTGTCTTGTGCGAAAAAAGCGCGGTCAGACGCGATCTCAGTGAGCAAAAAGAAATCTCAGTGTACCTCAAAAAGGCACAGAGAGTCAGACGAGGGAACAAGAGTTGGCTACGCCGCACACGAAAATCGCGCCGCTGAAAACGAAAAATGATCAAAAGATCGTAGTAAACAGGCAGTCATGCGTTAGTCCTGCTGAATCAAACCTTCCTAAATCGGTGGAAGGTTTTAGCCAGGATGCATGCGATGAAGACTCTGAAGGTATGATTATACCACAAGGCCGTCTAGTTGATCGCAGTAAATGCATCGTTATAAAGGGCATGCCTGAGTCTGTTTCCGACGCTTCAAAGGACAGAATACAACATGACATAGAAATATTCCAGGAATATCTCAAATCGATCTTAGTAAGAGACGAAAAAGTCACAGTATTAAAGGCTTTCAGGATGGGCAAAATTAAAGACTCAAAACAAGATCCAGACCGACCGAGAGCGTTAAAAATTGTCTTTGAGAATGACGAACAAGCACAGCTACTTTTGAGCAGGAAAGCTGCGCTTAAACACGCCCATCCATCAGTTTTTTTTCAGCGGGACTTTTCATCTGCGGAGCGAGAAAAATGGAGGGGGCTCAAATTGGAAGTCCTCAGGCGGTCGAGTCTGGGCGAGACAAATCTCCTAATAGTGGACGGAAAAATTATACGCGTCCAGAGGCCATTCCTCTGGAGAAAGCCCATAACTCTAACAGCTTAGGAGTGATAGAAAGCAGTTCATCCCGATCAGCTCCGACCGGCTTTTGCATTCAATCCCAAGAAATGGATAAACGCCTGTATGCCGGAGTTGCTCGTGCCAAATTGAGATTTTTGTATACCAATGCTCAAAGTCTCGCTTCGAAAATCGACGAACTCAAAGCGAGAGTACCGGAACAAATCCCCGACGTCATCGCCATAAAGGAAACTTGGCTTAATGCCGAAATCATGGATGCTGAGATTTCGATACCGGGTTACCAGCTGTTTCGTAGAGACCGTCAAAATAGGCAGGGTGGAGGAGTAGTCATATATGTAAGGGAAGGAATTTCAGCAGTTGAAAGAGCCCACACCCTATCCCTTGAATATGAATCCGTCTGAATAAAGATAAAGAAGAGCAATGCACAAAATCTAGAATTTCTGGCGATTTACAGACCACCAAATCTTCTGAGTGCAGCTGATGAGTCGCTCCTTGGTTTAGTCAAAGACGTAGCTAGCCACCAAGAGGTACTTATTGCTGGGGATTTCAACGCACCTGCAATAGATTGGGAAACTATGGCAGTTAATGATGGACCAACCTCTTTCAGCAATAAGCTACTGGACCTCACACTCGATCTCCCTCTGGCGCAACATGTGAAGGTACCAACAAGATTTCGAGAGAACCAGAGAGCAAATTGTCTAGACCTAGTTTTCACTAAGGACTTCTCTAATATCGACGAAGTGTATTCCAATGCACCTCTCGGGAAAAGTGACCATACCACGCTATTATGGGATTACTCGCTCTTCTCTAAACGCCAGAAGAGAACAGAGGGCCAACCTAATATATGGAAGGCAGATTTTAATATGATGAAGAACGAATTGCTGTCCGTGAATTGGGACCAAATATTCAGGGGAGATCCGGAGGACGACTGGAGATCTTTTAAAACGATTTCACTCGATCTGATTAGGCGCTGTTGTCCACCTAAAGTACAAAAAACAACTAGTCAACCTGCTTGGTTAACTAGGGACCTAAATAAGCAGCTACGGAAGAAAAGCAAAAGATGGAAAATATTCAGGGAAACTGCGTCACCAGCGCATTTCGAAGAATTTCGTCGTCAACGAAACGCCGTCAAAAAATGTATCCGTCAGGCACGGAAGGAGTATTAATCCAAAATTATACGACAGGCTGAACAGAAGCCTAAGATTTTATTTCACTATCTGAACAATAGACTGAAAAATAAGGACCCGGTCGCGGTGCTGAAGGATGGTAATGGTGTAGAGATCATTGAGAACAACGAGAAAGCCGAACACTTAGGACAGTATTTTGCCTCCGTTTTTACTAGAGAAACAGAGTTTCGCTGTCACAGTGCCGGCAATGCTCTTGAGACTGTTGGTCCCGTGCTTGACTCCATACTCTTCCCGGCAGCTGCCGTGGAAAGGGAGCTGAAAAATCTCAAGGAAGCAAAGTCCGCGGGTCCGGACAATATACCGGCCAAATTCTTGAAGGAACTGGCGAATGAACTTTCCAAACCACTGGCGCACATCTTCCGCTCGTCATTCGAATTAGGGAGGTTGCCATCGGAATGGAAGACAGCAAATATCTTTCCGATATACAAGGGCGGGGCTCGCACTTATGCTAACAATTACCGGCCTGTTAGTCTAACCTGCATCTGCTGTAAAATAATGGAGGCAATAGTTAAGAAAGCAACTATGGAGTTCCTGGAGCAGGGCCATTTAATCTCAGACCTGCAGCACGGCTTTAGACAGAACCGCTCGTGTCTTTCCAGTTTATTGCTCTCGACGGAGCAGTGGACTCGCGCACTGGATGAGGATGGGAGGGTTGATGTCATATACACAGACTTTAAGAAGGCGTTCGACAGCGTCCCACACAAACGCCTAATCTACAAACTTTCTGAAATTGGGATAAGAGGAAGGCTGCTGATATGGATAGCAGATTTTCTTAACGGGAGATCGCAAACCGTGTGCATTGAGGCCTCAAGGTCAACTCCTACTCCCGTTCTAAGTGGTGTACCCCAGGGCTCCGTCTTAGGGCCGTTGCTATTCCTGGTTTACATTAACGACTGCGTCGACAACCTGGGATGCAGCGCCATCATGTATGCTGACGATGTTAAGCTGTGGAGACCCATCAGATCTGATGGAGACAGGTACGCGCTTTAAGACAGTCTCAACCGCCTAAACAGTTGGTCAGCTCGCTGGCTCCTCAATTTTAATGTGGACAAATGTGTAGTCCTGAGACTCGGCACCAGACAGACCAGTAAGGAGGACGATTCCTTTCAATATGTCCTTGGTGGTCAGTCCCTTTCAAATGTTGTGGAACAGAAGGACCTGGGAGTCCTAATGACCTCCTCGCTGAAACCATCTTCACAGTGTCAAAGGGCAGCCAAAAGTGCGATAAGGGTGTTATTTGTGCTGAGGCGAGGATTTGTGCAGATCGACAAGGAGCTGTTCGGAAAAACCTATGGGGCATTCGTCCGGTCTCACTTAGAGTATGCAGTCCGGGCCTGGCGACCGTGGTTAAAGAAAGATTATCAAAGACTGGAAAGAGTACAGGCGATGGCTACGAAGGTGGTCAAGAATCTTCATCATTTGCCTTACGAAACCAGGCTGACTGAACTAAATCTGTTTCCTCTAAATAACTGGCAACTGCGCGGCGATCTCATTCAAACCTACAGGATTGTCAGAAGCCGAGAGTGTGCCCTAGATTTTGATGAATTCTTTGAATTGGCCCGGACTGACCGTCTGCGTGGTCATCCGTTCAAACTGCAAAGGAAAGTGGGCTAATTCGGACGTCCGACGGAACGCCTTCTCACACAGGGTCATCGGGGCATGGAATGGACTCCCTGATGCCGTCGTTCTTTCCGAAAGTGTTAAATCCTTTAAGTGCAGACTAGACGCTCACTTGTTGAGAACCTACTGTACATACAATCATGATTGTTTTAGCGGCGGCAGTTTGCGCCTGGCTCACACTTACCGCTAACTTCTTAACTTTTCGCATTTGCTGATGTAATTGATGACTTTATTTCTGTTTATCGACATGAATAGGGTGCTCAAGGGCGAAAGCCTCATTCCCTTAATAAACTGCCTTAAACTGACTTAAGGGGATGGCCTCGGCCCACTTCGTAAAATAATCTACCAACACTAAGATGTAGCGATGGCCGGAAGTTGTGTAAGGCAACGGACCGACTATGTCTACGCCCACCCGCTCAAAAGGAAAGCCTGTAATCATAGGCTGTGGGGGTGCATGATTTCGTGGGATGGTACCCTTGAAGGAGGCACAGGTGGGGCACGCGTTACAGAAGTTGGCGACTTGCTCTCTGAGGCGGGGCCACCAGAAGCGCTGCCTAGCAGCCGCTTCCGTTTTAGTCACTTCTACATGTCCCAACTCGTGGTGTAAGTCTGTGAGGACAGGCATGACGAGGCTACTCGGGACAACTAGCCGCGGATGGGTGGATGCTGCGTCTTTAAAGAAGAGTAGGTCATTCTCAACGAACAGGTTGGCCCATTGGTGGCACAAGAGGCGGGCAACCTCCGAGGAGCCGCGAAGTTCGATCTCTGTTGGTCTGTGTCGACCATGCAGCTGGTGGTCGTAAATTATTGCGGTGTCTGTATCGGTACTTTGTGCCACTGCCCAATGATAACGAGTGGGTTCACTGATTGTAACCGCCGCTATGTGTTCGTCCGTTACTTCTGGGTCTACTGTGCCGGCCTCACTTGGGCGGCGAGAAAAGGCGTCCGCGTTGGCGTGTTGGTGGCCTGGTCGAAATTGACAAGTGAAACCGAATTCATGCAGTAGTTCCTGCCATCTCGCAAGCTGGCCTTCGGCCTCCTTCATGTTTTGTAACCACTGTAAGGCCTTGTGGTCGGTGCGGACAATGAAGTGCTTTCCCACTAAGAATGGTTTAAATTGTTTAATAAACGTAATCAGCGCTAACAATTCCCGTCGGTAGGTACAGTAGTTTCGCTCGGGCTTCGATAGGGTTTTGCTCGCAAAGCAAATCGGTCGCTCGGCCCCTGTCTCGTCGGCTTGTGAGAGTACGCACCCGATCGTGAGCCCGCTGGCGTCGCTATCGAGTATGAAGGGGGGAGCCACAGGACTCGTGTCAGGTAGCATTAATATCGGTGCCGAAGTGAGTTTTGCTTTTAACTCATTGAAGGCCTGTTGACAATCGTCGGACCATGTGAATGAGCGACCTTTTCGGTCAACCGATGGAGGGGACGTGCGAGCTCCGCAAAGTGGAGGATGAAGCGGCGATAGTAGGAGGCCAGACCGAGAAAGCCTCTGACTTCTGTTGGGGTCTTCGGCGTAGGCCATGATCTGACTGCCTCTACTTTTTCCTGTGACGCCTGTATGCCTTGTGGGCTGTTTTTGTGGCCAAGAAATGTGACTTTCCGGCACAGAAACTTGCACTTTTGTGAATTTAAACGCAAGCCGGCGTCGAGGAGATCAGAGAGCACTGCGGCGAGGTTAGCGTTATGTTGCCGGGCCGTGCGTCCAAACACAATCACGTCGTCGAGGTATATCAAACAGCTGTGAGGGTATAAGTGGGCCAGGACGGACTGCATCAGTCGTTGGAAGGTGGCAGCTGCGTTGCAGAGCCCGAACGGCATGGTTTCGAATTCGAACAGCCCTTGTGGTAGTATAAACGCTGTTTTTGGGCGGTCTTTAGGTTCCACTTCCACTTACCAATAACCGGACTTCAGGTCCAACGTTGAGAACCATTGGGCTCCAGCAAGCGCTTCGAGTGTGACATCAATTCTTGGAAGTGGAAACGAGTCGCGGGTGGTGACCGCATTAAGTCGCCGATTGTCTATACAAAATCGGAGTTTGCCGTCTTTTTTGGGCACTAATGTGACTGGCGATGCCCACGGCGACTTGGAGAGGCGGATTATCCCTGTGGTCAGCATCGTTTGAATTAGGTCGCTCGCCTTCTGAAAGTGTGGTGGAATGCGGCGTGGTGGTTGCCACGGAGGTTTCGACGTACCAGTGTCAATGCTGTAACTGATGACAGCGGTGCGACCTAAGGAGGTATCATCCCATGCGAAAACATCGCTTAACGCAGTCAGAAGTGACTTCAATTCTGTCTTGTCGGTAAGGGCGACCGTATCATCTGGGGGTAAGACCGTGTCTACACTTGTTGGTGGTTAGGCTACCGACGCTGCGATGGCCGCGCAGGTGGCTTCTTCGTCAAACTCGGCGGCTGTTGGGTGGTTAGGCGGTGACTTATGCCCTAAGGATAGTGTACGCTCTTTGACCATAATACAACAGTTGTGTGCAGAAAGGAAATCTAGGCCGAGTATCATGTCCCACGACATCCTGTGAGTGACGACAAAAGCTTGTTCCTTTACGCTGGTTGGAAAGGAGATGGGCAGTCGAACCATCCCTAATGTGGTCATGGGTGACCCGTCTGCGGTTTTGAGGTGTGGTGAGCGACCGCTTTGTCGGGCGAGGTTAAGCCACGTAGAGTCTAGTATATCTGCCCGAACTAACGACGTGGTGGCACCTGTGTCGACTAGAGCCTTAATGGGTTTGTTGTCTAGGTAAATCATCGTGTAAAACGGTAAACTATGTGATGCGTTATCAAAGCAGACGGGAATTATGTGGTTACCTTCCGTGGTAATCGCCGCCGCAGTACTGTCTCTATCTCCCCGGAATTGTCTTGGCCCAGTGTTGAACGGTGGGGGTCGATAGGGCGTGCGGAACGTGGAGGGTCGGCTGCCGCGGTTGAATCGTTGTGAAGGCTGGTAGTGCGGTCTGGTCCAGGTGTTGTTCTGTTGCCTGCGGTCTGGCGTGGATTTCCACCGTTTAGCCCGGGAGTGGTTATCGCCTGTTGAGGCATCGGTTGTTAGCATGCGGGAGGCCCGCTGAATGGCATCGTTGAGGTCACCCGGTGGCTGAATCCTCAGGGAATACGTTACCTCCTGGAACCCGAGGCCGCGTTTGAAGTGGTAAAGGACCACTCGGTCTCTATCGGCCGCTGACAGTGAGGGGTAGGCGTCGCGTGCGAGCCGAAGTTAGGCTTTGGCGAACTGCCGAGGGGTCTCATCGCTCCTTAAGGAACGTTTTAGTGACTGGTCAAGGTCTTCTTCTATGGTCAGTGGGGGTTGGAATAGCCTCTGCAATTGGTCGCACAGCACCTGGAAAGGGGTGTGGCGGGTAAGGCCGGCATCGAGTGCCTTGTCCATCTGGTCGTCTGCAAGATGTTGAAGTACTGTACGGCTGCGTTCGTTTTGTGGAACATCGTCTAGGTGGAACTTAAGGCGGCGCAGCCAGCAAGAAAATCTTTACTCCCGTCGTAGGGTTTAAAAGAAGACGGAACAGGGTTTGTTGTACTGCTTTTAGGCTGCGGGCTCGGCTCTTTCGCTGCCACCATTGTAGCGTCCGACCTCGAAATGGGTTCGGTGGCCGAGGGTTCACTGGTGTCCTTTTAGGTTGCCTGAGACGGAACGTCGGAAACTAGGGCACTCTGTCCAATTTGTGAACCGTTAGGATCATCCTTCCAAGCGTTCATGATCGAATAACAGTCCTCAAGCACACGATAAGCCGCGTAGTACTCCAAGGTTTATTGAGGAAGGGCAAAAAAGGGGAACGTAGAACGAGGGCAAAACAGAGGGGGGTCCATTAGTCCAAGAAACGTTAGTTTCACAGTTGTCCAGGGAAGGTGGAGTTGGATGCTGCCACCGGGGAGGGGGAGTCTTCTTCCTCGCGCACCTCAACTAAAAAAAAACAAGAGAAAGCAGACAGATAGTGTCCAGACACCAGGCATCCTTGCTATCAAATCTAGCGCCCTTGTCTATTAAAACAACCATTCATGCGTGCCTGCTACAAAACTGCCTCAGAGAGTCGCGGATCATTTCCTGCTCCCCGTGACGTTCTTATTGGTTTTCAATTCGTTTTTTGATTGGCTGGGTCCATCCGGGAACGGCGATTGCATTTGGTAGGGAAGGCGTAGCATAGCAAAAGAACATTGACTATCTTGGTAGTGGTATCGATTTGTGGCGGCCGAGGACGTTAAGGGTAGCACACACCGCAGTAAGGAAACGTTGAGGAGAGATCCTGGCGGAAGTAGACCTGAACAGAACAGTTAACATCCCTTGAAATTCATCCACACGCCGAAGAAAGAAGTACGTCATATAGATATATAGTGTAATAGAACGACATGGATATGGAGAATGTGTAAAAGCAAACGTTAACGCACACATGGAATGAGGAACAGCGAAAAAGTGACCTGTCTGGATGGATAGGTGACAATGACATACTAGCTTAACAGTCGGTGGGGATGCAGCGCTGTGGGCATCTGCAGGGAGGGGCCGAGGTAGGGGCCGACATTGAGCGGAAGAGAGACGAGAGCGAGAGTGCGTTGCGGGAGGTGGGGGTGTCGGCGATAGCGACAGGAAGGGGCACCAGCCGTCTTCACCAGCACAAGGTTACACTATTTCCATCGCAGGTCTGCGCCAAAAGTGTCACAACATTCAAACAATCCTGTTCGTGCCAAGGGGCGTTACAGATCGGATTACAGAACGTGTTCATCCAAAAATTGTGAAAGGCCTCAGGAATTTACCTTACATCTGCTGACTTACACAACTTAAACTCTTTCCTCTTGAGTACAGGCAGATTCGAGATGATCTCATGCAGGCGTATCGGATATTGAGGAACCGGGACTGTGCCCTAAACCTCGACGATTTCTTAACCCTGGTCACAACAACAAACCTACGTGGAACTCTCTAAAACTTAGAGGATCCCGATACCGCCTGGACGTTCGCAGATACTCTTTTTCACAGCGAGTCGTCGTTGCCTGGGACGGGCTTTTGGAGGACGTAATAATGGCGGATACCACGGAGACGTTCAAGCGCAGACTAGATGTTTATTTTCTTGGGCAATACCGCGAGTCCGGACAGAACTGCCCTGTGGTGCCAGACCAGCGCCTTGCATACGCCTACAGCTAATGCTGATGACTGTCATTTCATTTTACCGATATCATCTACAACTGAATGTTCTTGAGTTTTGGTCCTGCATTTTCAACGGAAAATATTAAATTCAGTGTATATATTACTGACAACATTTCAGTACCATGTTTATTTAAATTTAGATATTGCATGCATAGTTTACAATAGGGTTTTCAAAGGCATTGCCTACTAACCTTAAAATATACTGACCTACGTGGGCCTTGGGACTCACTGTAATGATGTCGGAGGCAGTCGCATAGCAACCAGTAATATATGGTGACTCCGCTCCGGGTGCCTAAGGCAGACCTGCGGCTCTCATAGTTACTTGTTACGACCGAGGACGCTAAGCATGGTACAGAGGGATTAATGTATCATAACTTGTTGAACTTGCAACGAAGAAGTAACTGAAAGAGATTGCTAGACAGTTCGAGCAAACATAGACGACTAGAGTAGACAAAATGTTGAGTATTCGTAAGAGTTCGGCCAGACAGAGTCTAAGGTTGAGATAAAGGACCTGTTACAGCATAAAGTGATCCATCTGGATGGGTTGGCGACTCCGATATGTCAACCAAACAGGTGATGGAGGATTCAGTGCTGTGGGCACCCGCGGGGAAAGGCCGTAGGTGGTACTGACGAGCGAAAATGGAGAGAATGATTGTGAGAAGGTTGAAGGAAGAGGTGTCAGCGATTGCGAAAGGGGGATACTGACCATCTTCACCGACAAGCGGTTACACCTTTTCCATCCTGGATCCGGCCGATGAGTAACTTAAGTTCTTAAGATCAAATTCGTAACTTCCGCAGGGCGTTACATCCTTTCACGTGTGTACCTGTCGCATCCTGGTTCTTGGTCAATGACAGCTATCCAGGCCAACCAATCAGTTTCGAGAC